TGCAAAAACTATCCAGTAATAGTTGCACTGGCGCTAACATCCCTGTTTTGTATTGGTCTTAAAAGTCCGTTCTTTTGATGACCATGCTTGAACTGCTAAATGACAAAATCATTGAACAGTGACAGCAATATTCATTTATGCTCTCTTTTCAACGTTTCTTACATCTTAGCTTGTAATTCAATTGTTGCATGCGTACTAATGTTCAACGTTCCATCGAAATGTATTTAATGAAATTTTAATTTCAGCATTTTTCTTTTGTTATCTTTATGTTTGTACACAGTCCATCCCACGAAATAGGCCTAAGGGTTTCTATAATAGAAAGCGTGGGTTTTAAATTACCGAACCGAAACCCACTCCCATTTATTAATTTATTATTTATTATCAAACAATACCACCGTACATGAACACGGTCAGTCAAGTGGGGAATTAATAAGTAGTATTGTTTGAATTCCCCGATGCATGTCGGGTCGTATCCCTTGGCATATTTTTCCATTTATACGCATGCTTTTATTATCCTGCGTTGTTTTACAGGCTTAGCATATTTTTATTTGCGACAAGAAATTGTTCTAGCGTGTCCTCTCAATACTCAACCCTCCAATCAGTACATAAGTTTGAAACAAGATGTAACACTACCTCTGTGCTTAGGATGAAGAAGAGCTAACTCTGCATTCATCTCAACTTTCACAGTGGCAGTTTGTCTTCTAGGGGCAAAGAAACCAGGCAATAGTTGTCGGAGACGCTCGATTATTTCCATGGAAACATGGAAATGCCGTGCAGAGTTAACCTGGACAATGTCATCATACAGAGAAAATCCATCTCTCAATTCTATCCTCTTCAAGATAGAAATTATGTCGCCTTTCATGAAGGCCATTCCAAGCAGCCACGTTTTCATTTGTTTCCCTTTCTGCAGGCTACAGTCAAAGCCATACGTAGTAAAAAATATTCTTTCTCACCAAAGAAGACGTATACATCTTGATTTTACAGCATTGTTTAACGTCTTCTGACTCTGCAACGCTGCTATCGTTCCGGAGGGAATTACCTCCAAACAATAAACTTAGAAAGGCTGTCAGTGATATTGCTCGTCTTTGGCGTTCTCCTTGCCTAAATAAAACATTTTCCCTTGCAACAAGTCCTTGATTCTCAAAGTGTCAAATGGTTCCAACCCTTTTTTTTGCGTCGTCTTCGATCTTGATCAAGGAATGTGAGTATTGATCCATTTATGGGCTCCGCATCGAAATTATTACACCAGTAATTCCAGTCGTCCATGGAAAAGTAATGAGTAGACATTTTCAAACAATTATTATGCCCATTGATCCGCTATAGGTCTTTCCCAGCTGAACTCAATAACACGAAAGACAGTCATGAAGCTTAGATCATTGTCGCAAACTGTAACCCTTTCCAAAGTGAGCGAATTCCACAAAGGAAACAGCTTTTGTTGAAGCATAAATTGTACAACATAATGAGATAAAGAACCAATTAAGTTGGCGTTATAATGTTCATAAATTTCTGTGATCACGGTTTGTAAATTTATAAATACAACTAAACGAAAACAAACAGGATGAGTTGTGACAAACAAGGTTGGGGCAATCAAGTTGGTGAAAATGTTGGCAAAAAATCCACGCTGCATAAAGTTGATTTAATAGTAACTGTCCACACCCATGACGAAACATCATGCATTTACATTTTTTTACAACCGAAAGTGGAGGGTTAAAACGAGAAGAGGCTGAAACGGCCTTCTGATACCATCCTGGTCAAAGACATAATCAGTGTGCACTGTGAGCATGCATAAACACGTGTACTGTATGGTGTGTTCAGCATACCCTGCGGTTTCAGCAGTCGCTGAGTCTGAACTCCCCTGTGGCTGCCGAGTTAATTGAACTTGGTTAGGAGTAGATACTTGCGGTCTGACAGGGTTTCTGCACAAACCCCTTGTGCAAGGTGTGTTTGTGTGGAAGTATCGAGGTACCAACTTCTACGACAGTGTGCTGGTTATGGTTCCTTGCAAAAAGAAATTCAATATTCAGAGGCAGTATTCCTTTTTTCAAACTTAAACATTAAATCACACAAGTGATATTTGTAAAGGTCGTAAATAGATAAGGTATTAAATTTGACAAATAACGGGGCGGAGTGATCTCTAACGCAAGAACCATTTATAAGCCTTAACAATTTCCTCTGAATCGCAATTTCTCAAGGTAAGTTTGATGAGTTTACTGGTTAGACGTGACAAGGCAATATTTCTTGTGCCTCGTCAACTCCTTCAATGTCGCTTTCTTGTTGCTTTCTTCGTCAAAACAATAAGACGAACATGACAACTGATCACTGTCATAATCGGAAAAAGCATCAACGCTGAAGTTATCGTCGCTTGAGTCTGACTTGATTGCACACGCTAACGCTACTACATTACGTACATATCGACGCGTCGTTGTGTAACAGTAAACAGTCACCGGATAAAGGACTCCGTCCTATGACGTCACGATTCTTGGACATTTCTCCCATTGATCTCCATTATATAATGGAGATCAATAATTTCTTCAGACAACTTTCTGTACCCGACGGCTGTTGTTTAGCTTTTGCTCCCGGATCCAGAAGGGAATGAAATAGGGTCGTGAAAACTATAAATTGTTACCATATTTCCGCGCATTTTTAAATTGTGCAAATAAGTTTTCTGGTTGAATATATATTTGTTTTATGTGTTCATGCATTTTTTACAAGAAATCTTCCCAGCACGGCCCATCCCCTTAAACATAAGCAGTTTTTTTTGTGAAGTAAGATGGCAGTTGACTTATGGCTTCAATTTAAAAGGGCGCTCCTCTCTCCCATCTAGTTAGGGGCAAGTTCGGTCAGCGACATATTGTCAACCAGTGGTCGATTTTGAGTGGAAATATATGCATTAAATGTAAAATTTGATATACTTTCCTATGTACCAGTGAAAGTAGAGGAATATCATTGTAGGCTTCACCCTACAGATCGTCAAAGTTTAAATAACAAAATAAAATAAGGCTCAGCAATCAGACGCATATGAGTTGGAAAGTGACAGCAGAATATGTATTACAGTATTTGCTTGATTTGGACACTATAAGCACAGGATGATGGCAATACGACGGAAGATGGAGTAGTAGCATGCAGTGTGCGATATATGGTTCGATTTGCTGAGCTGTCCAAGAGACATATAAGGAAAAATAATAGCGAATTTGGCTGCAAATAGTGCCGACGTGTCTAAATTGACAAGAGGTATGAGTAAAGGAAAGCGCCCTCTGGCTTGACCAACAATCTGCACCAGAAAAATGAAATAGCGCCCTCTCGTAGGCTTTACCAACAACAACAAAAATACGTCTGGCTTCTGCAATCATGGGTATATGGGTGCACTGCGCTCATTCAAGCTCCATTGAAAATAGTGTAACATCAACCAAGTTTGGAGCCCCATGGCAGGCAACTGAAGTCCCTGAGGCCTCTCAAACAAAAATCAATGTGTTGTTTGGTCCTTCAGATTTCATTTGATTTTAGTAGGTTAACCGATGAATTTTTTAATTATCCGCCCAAAACAAACTACTCACCCCCCAAAAAGTGAATGTTGCCAAGCCCTCCCAGCGGCCATTTTTCAAGTGACATTCTTCACCTTCCTCGGGCTCTTCTGACTAATTTTCAATCCCATTTTTGTCTGCTTTGCCCCCAGATGGGTGCTCCTGAATCTACAGAGATGATCCCGGGCCATACTGACACAATTCCACCATTTCTTGGCCCAAACAGACCCCTCTTTCTGAAACAATCTCTGGGGGGTACTTTTTGTGTGCCTCCGCCTGGCGGAGAATTTTCCTTGAATTGGGACACTGCACCCATATCATTTTTAAAATGGCTGGATGCAGGCATGTGGATTATCACAAACTTGGTTAACCCACCTAAAACATGAAAAGAAATAGAATGATTGGCCGCCTGAACGGACAAAAATTCAATTTTTGTTTACACTGTTTTCATTGGGACTTGAATAAAGCGTGGAGGTAGAATGAATAAAGGCACTGAGCCCTTTACGCGACGCGCGTACCGCCACACCTTGAACGCCTTGCGATATGTAGAAGTGCACACACATAAGTTCATTATGTGTAGAGTAAAAAAAAATCATCCACGCGCACTTCTGCCAGCTCTGGTGCATAATCCACTATTTTAGTTCCAGTAACTGAGACGATTGAGACACCCATGTCGCAAAATCCAACGGGCACAACGCCTTGAAACAAGAGGCTCACTGTTAAGTTGATAGGCCGCCCTCAACTTTAGCCCTGCGTTCACCGTTTATGTACCGGTAGGTCAAAGGTTGCTGGTTATGTACGAGGAAAGGTGTTTGTAGGCCTGTAGTTGATGTCGAACATTTGCCTGATAGTTACGCCAAATTTACTGGTACAGTACATCGTAATGGTGCTGGGTCTAGGTGTACTTCGTACATAAAACTGATGTGAGCCTTGAGCGTGTTGAGTTTGAGGTCGGAGTATTGAGAATTTGAGAATCGTGTGTTCTAACTTCTATTGACCTGTTACCCGTGGCCGTGCCCAAGTTGAAGCCAATTTGATTCAGCCATATGGGGAGAAAAGTCACACTTGCAACATGCACACTGAATCAGTGGGCAATGGACTTCGAAGGCAATTGCAAACGGATTCTGAAAAGTAAGTTTAACCTTTTCCAAGTTTGATTTAAAACGAAAGCCATCCCAATAGTACTGTACAGCAAACGTAGCCTCCGTAGGGTAAGATCATATAGGCCATGTACTAAGGCCTACCCCTGTACTAGCCTGCCCTAAGTAGGCTTAGCCAATGGACATCACTTTTTTCCCCATGGGCCTTGCTGTGGTTTATTTAAGCCATCAGAAAGTGATAAAATGCCCTGAAATGTCCAATTTAGCAGTGAAAATACATGTACATGTACAAACTGCACATGTACATGTAATTACATGTAGGCCTACATGTACATGTACTTGGAAAAACTAATTTCATGCTAATAATTTTTCAGGCCTGGCTCATGGAGTTTGTGCACAGCAGGTACATCACTACGTGTTGTCAGAGTAACTTGGACTCTACAAATTGCCTTTGCTATTAATTTCGAATCTGGGTCATCTCCTACATGGGACAACTCATACCCAGGTCGACTCGTGCCCCAGTCAACTGGTACCCCAGTCAACTTGTGCCTGAGTCAATTCCTATCCGAGTCAATTCGTATCCGAGTCAATTCGTAATTTCGTACCCTTGCATGTATTATTGTCATCTGTGGATAATCCTACCAATAGCTGCTTTGCTTGCAAAGACTAAATTTTTTAATTAATTTTAATTTATTAATTACGTTATACAATCCTCTCCTTCACTTTAAAAAAATCCCCGTAAGTTGGGCCACCGCGCGAACCAAATCTTGTCGCGCGCCCGGAGCGCTAGCTCTGCATTAGCGTGGCCCGCCTGGTTTTCAGTTTTCCTTCCGGAGTTGCCTTTGATCGAGCTCAAGTCTTACCCTGATCAGTATCCAATCCAAATTTTTGTATGGCGCCATTTATGACATCATTGGCCTAATATGAAATGTAAGGGTGTGGCTGCCGCAGATTGGCAAACATAATGCTAAATTTGAATATGCATAAGCACAATTGGATGTAGTGAGAATTTAGAATTGAATTTAGTTGTGCAGCGAAAATGCCGTACCGGTATGTTGCGTGTTCTCGGTTGATTATTAGTGAATTCTCACCACATGGTTTTTACAACCATCGTGTGATGCAGCGCCATCATAAGTTTATAGCACAAGTGCCGAGCATTAGAGCGGCACCCATTCGGCACTGGTTCGGCACAACTCGATATCCATTTTTCGTTATGTTTGCTTATTATATCACGTTTTCTTGCATGCATTCAGTGTGCTACCAATATTATTAAACCGAACAACCGAACCGACCAGTTTGGTTCGGTTAGAAAGTGCAATTAATGTTCGACAATTTTGGTTTGGTTTGGTGGTTCGGCTGCAGCGCTATGCTAATGTACGGAGTACGAGTTGTCCTGGGTACGAGTGGTCCCTGGTACAAGTTGACCTGATTCCTTAATGCCCTGTAGATGACATCATGACACACAATCCCGGCAGACCTTTCCCAAAAAGCATGTGGTATTTACACGCGCATGCCAACAACTGTTTCCTGAGGGGTGCAACCCCTTGTGTACAACTCAATGTGGTCAACGCTACTGAACATTGAATCGATCAGGAAACAGTTGACATATTTCAAAGTTGGTTCAAGAAGAAGAAGAAGGAATTGATTGTGATATCACCTCGCAAGGATGTCTGTTTTGTGACAGAGCATACTATCTAAAACTTTTGAGTATCTTCCGTTTTTTTAGAACGACACAGTCACAAAAGCAATATCCTTGCTACCGTAAATCTTTACTTTGCCACCTTCACCATGAAAAGCGTGAAAGATCAAAAAGGAATTTACAGACTATCCAGGGGTCATTCCATGAGGTTGGGGCACAATTTGGGACAGTGTCCTTGTTACATTGGTAACTTTTACTGCCTGTCATGACCTGTAGAGTAGGTCATTTACTCTGTAAAAATAACACACACACCTCTGTATTCAGCCTTGCAAAATGTATATCAGTGTCAGTTTGAAATCGGCATGCAGGGAAATAGCTGTTCATTTTTACGGAACCCATGTAACAATGGACACCGTCACAAATTATGCCCCGCCCTCATTATGGAATGACCCAGAGAGAAGCTGGATATTGGAAGGAGCTCATTCACTTCACTTTGGCCACTCTGTGAAAAGAAGTGTGGACATGACACAACATGCTGTTGTTCACATTGAACATGCGCATACTAGCACAAAACGTGATGTAGTGATAGACAAGGACTGATGTTCACTACCACCATGCACCTCTCGCCATCGTCTGCCTTGGCCAGTGCTTTTGTTTGTGCTGAATTCATGCATCCAGTGCAGGTGGTTCATAACAATGCAATATTCCAACGAGAGGTTGCCAGTTTTTCAAGTTTACTGTCAACATAATGGATAGTTGAGGTTTCTTGAGTTTCAAAGCATGGAAGCAGTTTTCAGCCACCTCATAAAAATACCATCTTGATTAACCGTAACTGCCCAAGGGTTGCTGGACCTAACTTTCCCCATTTGTGCACAGAGGCTGTTGGACATAGTTTTTCTGAGATATGCCAAACCCAATGCAAAAGCCATCTGTCTGAGCCTACCAGACCTACATGTATCCCCACAGAATTAAACACTTATTCTGTGTGGTTCGGGAAGCTTAGGGTTAAATAAATTTGACATTCTTCTAGAAATACACTTACAAATCTTCTTCTTGACAATCAAATAGTAGGTGTAATTTCCCTGCGCTTAGCCAGCAAATACGCTGCACTGTGAAAAATGGCCTCTCCATGTCCATCTCTTGTTGGTACATTATATTATGAATTGCCTGTGTTACATGTAAATGATGTACTGTACATGTATGAACTAGGCTTATTGAGAAGAAAAGTTTTTTTTAATGCAATGTGCGTTATACATTCACATGTACATGTAGAACCAGTGCTGTTTATTTAAAAAGGTTTTATGTAAACAGGCATGTCAGCAGGCTGGGAGACCTCAAGAGGCTGCATGCTAGTGGCAGCGGACATGCCAGTCTTGTTTGCTACTTCGGAGCATGCTCACACAATTCTGAGCATGTGAACTTACACGTATTTCTAAGCATAGTACAGAGGACAGTCGGAAAGGTCTGGTACCTCTGCTTCCAACAGCATCTCAAAAGTATCCCGAGTCGTAGACAAGCAGCCCGTACATGTAAATGCTCATTTCCTTCTGACGTCAGCTTGTAGTGGCTTGTGCGTATGTGCATGAGAAAAAGGAAGTCAGAGTAATCTGCTGAGGCTGTTCACTCAACCACAAGATTCTTTATTTTTAGTTTGGGATTCTGTCCCCTCACTTTTTAGACAACTTCTTGTAGTACCTTTCGTTGCTCAGTTGGAGGTAGTTCCAATCATACATTGCGTAAGGATTTGGTTTTAAATGTGATGGATGAAACTTATTTCCGTTTTGTAAATCAGAACAATTATATTTGTGTTCTGTGAACATGGTGAATGGATAAATATTTGATTTTTTTTACTTGATTTCAAGCGCAGGAAGGTCTACCTTCTTCCATAACATACCGTACCCGTGTGTACATGGAAGCTTTTGTGTTAAGCCACTTTTTTCCTCTCTTTTACAAATTTGTACATACACTGTAACTGACTGTTACTGGAAAACTCTTTAGTTTCAGCAAATGAAAGAGCTGCTTGAGATTTAAAATCAAAGTTATTTAGAAGCAGGCTAATTCTGCAGGTACTGTCTCTGCCGTACATTCTGGGGATTGGATGTGGGGGGAAGAGATATGCAGCCGATATGAAAATTAAATTTGATTTCAAAAATCTGGTTGTGAAATCAAGACAATTTTACATGTATAATGTAAGTAATTTTGGAACACACATGTCCAGCCTTGAAAGGGTACATGTACATGACAGGTACATGTATGTAAGTGTATGGTTTAATATGTGTGAGTGTAATATTCTTTCCTTTCTGCTAATTTGTATCAAAACCTCTGTTTTTAAAATCACAGGCATAGAAATTGCCAAGTCCTTGGGTGCAAAATACCGCCTAGGCCCGGAACTAGAAATATGGTGAGTCCTGTGGTTTGCTAAATCTAGGTGTGCTGCAGTGTAAGGTGCCTCTACTGATAACACAATTAGAGAATATCCTTTGTGTTGGGACAGGATATGTTCATCTTCTCTCATCTTAGAAATGAATATATCCTGTCGAGCCTTTTAATCCTTGCTCTGTTATGTAAATCTTCCGCGTCACTTCAGTGTTCAGATTTCTTCATCACTGTGGATGCCTTGCTGTCAGACACCATGTGCATGTACGTCATGTATGTTTTGCAGTGGAAGTCGGCAACACATTTATGGTACATCCCTAACTTTTTTGGACCGGGATGCTGGTGAACAAAATAGCATCCCCAACTCCGACCATGTTTAGCCACAAACATAATCAAACTCATCAATGTCAGAAACCCACCGAAAAACCCTAGATATTTATGATTTTACAACCTCAGAAAAATGTGTTGCCGCAGGCATGAATTGGAGTCTTTGTCAATGAGTTGTGACATACTCCAAAGCCCTTACCTGCCAATGTACCCCCTCCACATACATTTTTATGTGGGGAGGTATATATTGGCAGGTGCACAGGTATATAGTACATGTATCTCACTCATTTACAGGTGCATCATGAGAGCAAAGGTTAAACTACTCCTTTGAGTGTGAGTTGTGCTGTCCTGTGCGTTGACAGTGCCAGACTTTTGAAAGTGTACATGTGCACACCCTGGCTGTACTCCAATACCTTTTAGAATTTTCTGAAACACTAATCCAGATGTGAGTTGCGTCGAGTAGTCTTATGATGTACAGTGTATACGTACACAGCAAATGCATGTACATAGATGAATTTCCCCTTATGTCAACTGAATCATACAGAACTCAGGTGAAAAATTCCAGCCCTTTTATTACAGACAATGAAGTCAGAAACTGAATTTGTATGGAATTGTAAAATGATGGCCAACGATACCAGTTGAGTTGACCTGAAGATAGATGTGCTTACATGTACATGGTGGCGCACAACCATGCAGGAAAGGGTATTGCTCACAGGTTTTGCGCGTGAATGGACACTTGACAATGTCATTGTCATTGAATTGACACAAAAACTGCCCTCCGCGATGCACTCTACAAGCACACAATCTCATGCACTGTAGTTGTGGGGACATACACTTGACATTTTACCTATTTTGTGGGGACTGAAACCGTAGTGGGGACTCAGAAATGTCCCCACAACTCGGTTCAAATTTCCCTAACAAAAGAACTTGTCCCTTGAATGCGGTAAATGCCTACCTACTTGTGTGTGTAAATGTACTTGCATTCTGGATATTCACATGTACATGTTTGCTACGACACCTGACCTGGAAGCTCCTTAATTTATCGTCAAAAATCAAAGATTCTGAGCTTCTACTGTACATACGTGTGTGTAGTTCTACAACCCATAGTTTTGGTACATTCATTACATACATGTACACACATGGACTTGAAGGTAAGAGACTTCAAAACCTGTATAACATACAGGACCCATACATTGTACCAGTATAGTACTAGTACATTGCAGCTGCAAGAATGGCAAGAGGCTTACGGTTTGGAATGTCAAGTGCATGAACACACATGTACATGTACTTCAAAGCCAGGTATTACACTGTGTTTTGGAGGACAAGTAGGATTCAGCTGACTTACATGTAGCTGTACATTGTACTTGTATCCAACACTGTGCCCATGGAGCACAACGGCAAGAAAAGGTGACAGCTACTGGGATATACATGGACGTGTACCCCCCGGGTTTGAGTGGAAACAAACTGAAGTCAACTTTGCAAAGTATTTTAGGTACCAAAGGTGATCTCTTCTGTTCTCCTGAGTTTGTCCTCGGTGATCCATTTAAATTTTCCAGCCCTCCTAAATATTTGTTTCATTTTTTTGTAGGGGGGATCTAGATACTGTTAGTTCTGTCAATTCTTGCTAAATGTTCTGGTCAGAGGACCTACGGTATGCACAAGAACTTGCACGTTTGTGGTACACCAAAGATATTAAATCACAGAAGAAACGCAGTCTGGCAAAACTCAGGTTTTATCCATTTTAAATCTGTGTGTTGTGTGTCTGAAATGTGTTATTTAAGTGTCAATGCACAAAGAGATCTTCAGTGAAATTCCAAACATTGTCAATGTTCTCTCAACCATGTATATCTTTAGCTCATGTTACATGTGCTTTGATGCTGTGACGTCTAAATTTAACATGGGATGTAGAAAATCATTTCCCGCACGAATTTGTTGCTTTCTCCTACAGTGGCTATGGTTGCAACGACCATTTCTACGAATCTGATACCTGCTTACATTCCTTCCAAGTTCTGGCTGAGCTCCTCAAGTCAAAGGTCACACAGGACATCATATGTGATGTTGGAATGTGAGTACACATTTCGTTAGCTATACATATAAACTACATATACATGTACGTTACATGTAATGTTGCCTTTGAATTCTCGTGTAAGAAAGGAATAAAGACCGTTGTTAAGGACCGAACTTGGAATTTGTATTGATTGTAATTTAGATTTTTTTGGTTGCCTGAGGGTGCTGTTCTAAGGCAGAGGGTGTTCTTTTTTGGAATTTGGGTGTGGTCAGTTTTGTACATGTACACCATACCATGTATGCCTACATGTACATTAAGACAAGCAGTCTTGGAGATTCATGTGTGACATTGATAGTTAACTGACATCCATAGAAGCTCAGCAAATTTGAACCATGCCACGGGACGTCATGTCACATCATACTACCATACATGGTACTGTACCTGCTTTAAGAGCACCTGATTTGTGACACACATTGACAATTCACAAATAAAGACCACTTCTAGCATGAGTAGCAAACTGAGCTTTTTTGTATGGACAATCACTGTAACAGTTGGAGGTTACAGTTGTGCTTCTCAAAAGACAAACACAAGTAGAGAGAACTGTGCAATTGGGGGTGGGCTTTTTTGGTGGAAGGGTATTACCAGCAGTGAATGTCATAAACAGGCAGCACATTGGCAAGTTGGACATCATCTGGCTGTTTGCCTCTGATGAAGGGAGTGCAGTAATTGTTTTCATGTTTTTTTTGTTCTCAATTTTAGGCCTGTTCTTCACAAAGGTGTCCGCTATAACACCAGGGTGATCTTTCTAAACAGGTAATGAAGTTAGTCAGCGTGTACTTCAGGTATCACCGATAAAATGTGCAACATGTGCCCGATTGCCTTTCTGGTCATTTATTTGAGCTTTTGCTTCCCCCTTTTTGTTTTTTTCAGGAAAGTGTTGTTGATCAAGCCCAAGTCAGATATGGCTAACTATGGGAATTACCGGGAACTGCGATGGTTTAAAGGTTGGGCCAAGGAACGAACAGTGGAGGAGTACTTCCTCCCAAGGATGATCACACGAATAACTAATCAGGTCGGGCATTGAATGAAATCTTATCCATCCACGTAACACCAAGTGTGACATTACACATACGTGAACATATACACGTATGTTTACATTTATGTGTACATGCACCCTAACTGCAACCGGGACTTGATTTTGAAGCATCAAGTCCACCTCGTCATATTTGATGTGATGGACTGTGTGCTTAACCATGCTCTGAATGGTTTAACCCTCAAAGACCGGGGGAGAAGGGGGAAATCTAACCCCCCGCCCCTCTGACGTGTTCTAAGATATCATTACAATGCATTTTATACAAGGCATCATACAAGGCATCAATCCGGTTTGGGTTTTTTTTGTTTTTTCATGTCAACCCCGAAAAACTCTTTTCCAGTAATGTCTTTCAATAATTTGGACACAGATTTTGTGAAACTCTTAAATTGCTTGCAAGTCTGGATTTTAAGTTTTGTGGCGTAAAGTTTTAAAGGGGTTAGCAAAATGTGCCTGCAAAATGACTTAGATTCCATGTATGGCATCAAACACTGTGTTCGCATTTTGAATTTGTAAATGTTCACGAATTTCTGTTTCTTTTCTTTTTTTGCAGACAACAGTTCCCATTGGAGATGGAGTCATTTCCACTCAAGACACATGCATTGGGACTGAGATCTGTGAAGGTCTCTGGACAGCTAACAGGTTAGTGACAAAGGACATGTACATATCTGTAGACACATGAGCCCTGACTTGATCATTTTTGTCATTTCAAACGACATTACCCGAATGTGGTCAAGCATTGGTCACCCATTGTCGTTTTGGGTGTAATCTTTGGCCAGCCTCATGGTCATGTATGGCAATGGCGCTCCCATGGAGTGCTTTGTCAGGTGTACAACCTGTCAGTGAGGACTCCAACTAGAGAGGTTTGGAGGTCGCTCATTTGTGTATTAAAATATTAGTTTGGCTTTCACTGCAAGTTTTGGATTCTCAGCTGTCTTCACTGTAGTAATATTCAGTCAGGAAAATGTGAGACATTGTCCTAACAGGAATTTTGAAGTGACTTGTGCAAAGATGTAATTGAGCAAACGTTAACAAGGACCTTGACCGGTATTCTGACCGTATTCCAATTGCATTGATTGTTGTTGCTCTCTCGTGTAGCCCACACATTGGGATGTACTTGGACGGTGTGGAGATCATCACTAATAGTAGTGGTAGCCATCATGAGCTGCGGAAATGTCACACAGTCATCGACTTGGTCAAAGCAGCCACTTACAAGGTACCTTGGTGGGTTACTTGTTAAGTCAGTTTGATGAGGTCTCCCAAGAAGTCAAATAATTTGCACTCTGGCCCAATTTCTGGCGGTGGAATTTACAGATTCACAGATGTGCTCATTATGGTTGTCTGCATGCATGCAAAGCTTCACAAAGATTTGTAACAGGACAGCCCAGATTTCTGACTGGAGAAAGTTGGAAAAAACAGAAACCCACATTTTTAGCCTGAAGTGAGAAATATTTCTAAACTATTAACCACTTCCTGCCGGGGCAGTTATCAATGTTGACAGTGCTGAGCTGGGATATTTATCCTTTTTTTTTCTGTTTTCAAAATTCTTTGAAAATTCCTATCTTCATTTACTGGAGACTTACAAACACAAAAGGACTGTCTGGTCGCCGCTTTAGCTTGACAGATGAAATCTATTGATGCCTGATTATTTCAGACAGGCCTGCAGCGTTGTAAAAGGAGCCCAGATTGTGCGGTGTTATATAACTTTCTTTTGTTCACGAACCTGGCTCAGTGCGCTGCTGACCTCTTTTCAATAGGGACCAGATTAGCATGCAGTGGTGCTGTGTGGCTCATCGCTGCGGTGGTGGAGCGCTTTTATCCCCGGTTGTAATCGGCTCGCTCTAAATGCCCCAAACTGTGGTATACTGTTTTAAAAAAAGGCTAGATTGTCTCCACTTTTGAGAGTGAAAAAATGTCGGTAATGCCCAGAAGCCTGGTCTTTTGTTCCGAGTACGGTCTTTTGTTACAAGGCCCTGTTCCTTTTGTCCGAGTTCGGAGACCCTGGCCACGCATATAAAGCATACGTGTCCAGATCCGGATTCCCTGGCAGGAAGTGGTTAACCATATGCTGCTGGGGAACCTGTTGGACAAAAGAGCTGGGCCTTGTAGCAAAAGACTGTACTCAGAACAAAAGACCGAGCTGCTGGGAATTGCCAATATTTTTTCAGTTGTCAATAACAGAGGAAATCCGTCATTGTTTTGAAAGATTATACCACTGTTGTGGCATTCAGCGTGAGCGAACTACCACCAGGGACAAAAGCGCTCAACTGATGAGCGATACTATACCGCTGCATGCTAATCTGGCCCCTATTAAAAAGATGCCAGCCACGCACTATCCAGTTTCAGGAACAAAAGAAACTTATGTAACACCTCACAATTTGGGCTCTTTTTACAGCAGGCCTGGCTGAAATATTTGTGCATCAGTAGATGTGTGTCAGATTAGAGTAGCCACCAGACAGTCATTCGTGTGGGTGTCAATGTCCAGTGAATGAAGTTATGATTTCTTTAAGAATTTTGAAACAGAAAATCTTGAAAATCCCCCAGGTTTACATCATGCAACTTCAAATTAAACCCGGCAGCAGGTGGTTAAGATCATTTTCTTTTTAAATTTATTGTTGCTGTGAGGTTTTAGTGCTTTTATGAAGAGCAAGAACCCCAAAGACAGCATCTCATTGATTTCTTGACTGCCAGTTTTGACCATCAGAGGGCACTATAAGCATGAAAGTGTGACACACAAGTTGTTGGGTTGATTTTCAGTGCGGAGGTATCTACATGTATTCCAACCTGCGGGGGTGCGACGGAGAGAGGGTGTACTACCAGGGGGGATCTCTCATCGGAATGAACGGCAACATCGTCACCCGGGGAGACGATTTCTCTCTCACAGATGTGGTAGGTGGATTGGAGACCTAGGTCACTCTGATTACCCGGTCACAGCTGAAAACAAGTTTGTGAGAAATGGGTAAAGCGGCTTGTAAGCGGCTTCAGTAAGTGCATGTGTTATTGTCAGCCAGAGCCATAGCCAGGACCCACTTTCATGATGCTGGTTACTGATCAGATAAAAACCTTTGTTATCTATTGGTGTGCAAGTGTTGGTGCTCCTGTGCAGGTGTGGCATACATAGTGTGGACCTCCGTGCAAAAGAAGTCCACATAATGTAGGGTATTATGGCGTTGTGTGGACTCGCACGCATCCCTACAATGGTTTCCCCTCTCTGAAAAACAGTTTCAGAGGCATTTTGGGGTCAAGGTTATCGGTGGCAAGAAGGAAGAGGAACAGTCCAGGAAATCATCATCAAAAATCCAGCTCGAAGGAGTCATCCAAGTTGAAGAAAGAGGAGCAAGTTTCAAGTTTCCTTAACCATAGGAGAACAAAGGAATGTCCACACTTTGTATGTGAAAAAGGTTATGTGTATACTGTGAAGTGCACTACTCACTAGAGTGTGCTTCACAGCATACATGTAGGTGCACCAATACTTGGTATCATTTGACATTTATCTTAACCAAATTGCCCCCTGAATCTAGCACACGTTTTGTTTGCTGAGTCTTTGTAGGATGTTCAGAGGCTCTGTGTCCTGATAATTCTATGGAGCTCAGCAGTGCCATCAACGTTGGGTAGGTCTCGGTTCTCAGGCCTGAAATTGCAGGCCGTGTTTGAAATGGGCATCGTTGTCTGTGGCTAAGGCTATTCTGAAATGGCCAAAACTGAAGCTGTATATAGCCACGAATGACCCAATTATGACCCATTTTTATCTGATCTGGGTTCTATATGCTGTCAGTATTAAAGGCCAATTCTCTAGATAGGGATCAACTGATGATCAGATCTGACATCAGGTCAGGCCGATGTTCGGCAACATCGGCAAACATCAGATCAGCAAAACTTCACCTTCCTTGCCGATATGAGTACTGGGAACAAACTCTGCACTCAGTTTTGGCAAACATATATCTCATAGATTTATTTCAGGATGAATAAAAACTGTGTTTTTTCCATTTGGTGTGATAAATGAGCATTTGTACCATGGTTAAACTCATGTCAAGTATCCCCAAAAATTACATCTGCGTGACCCGTGCTGCAACAACTCAACACACAGTCAGTGTACATGTTTACCATTTCCATTGACCGCCATGAAAAGAGCCAGGGAACTACACTGCGTATGGCACCACGAGGTGCTGTGTGACCAGTCTGAAGGTAGCCGGTGGTTTAGCCTTTACTCGGTCGTGCATGGCTATCTGGACACACAACGTGCACCTCTGCCGTTGGCACGACAAAGACTGAAGTTGAACATGGTGCACTGGTGCCATGCGCACCTTGACTAAAGGCTAGCCGTGATTCAGCCGGAAGTGTCATGTGTCTATTTTGCATATATGCACTGCGTGTGTTGGATTTGAATACAACAGAGCACTGTTGGTATCGTGCCAGTGGCAATGTGATGTACACAAATCTTTCAACTCAGTGACTGTAATGTAAAGGCAAAAACCTAATCCTATTACCGGTAATGTGTAAACTGACATTTTAAATTTTAAGGAGGTACACTGGTTTTGTGTTGTTATGAACCGATGTACATGTACATTCTGTTAAGGTTGCGTTTTCAGTTATTGTCGGTAAAAACATCGGATCAGATTGGACATCGACCGATGTTCTGATCAGTAGTTAAAACATTCATCAGTTGATCTGTGTTTTCAGATGTGTCCAGTCTGTAACCCTACTTGCACATCCTGTGGCAGTAGAAGTCATGAATGACTACACAGGGTACTAGTCTATGGCCAGCAAAACTACTTTGTTGAAAGATCATTTTTCCATGAGACGCAGGTTGCCCACCTGTGGAATTTTGCCATAGCTACTTCTGGTTGAAGTAAATTTGCAGTTGATCAGTTGACAGGTCTCAAGCTCAGTGTTTGGACAAGAGAACTTTTTTAATTTACCTAGCAGTGATCCATCATCATAGACAGTATCTGTTTTTCCCTGGTATCCAGAGTAAAAGTTGTAAGTTGCCAATTGTTCATGGCTCAGTATCTGAAAGTAATAAATCTTTATTTCCTCATTTTTGTCAGGACCACTTTTGTGTTTTTAGGATTGCTTTGTCCTGTCCATGCAATTCAGAATTAACTGACTCTTGTTGTCTTTCTGTGTCAGGATGTTGACGTAGCCACCTTGGATCTTGAAGACGTCCGTGCCTACAAAGCGCAGATCAGCAGCAACAACTTGTATTCTGTATGTATCCATTCAGAATCAAATCTATGTTATTAGTGTTGGATAATCATCCTAACCCGCCAGAGACTTTTGTCTTGGAAACCAAGAGAAGATACAAAAATCCAGCCCTTTCCTAGGCCAAATGGCCGAGGAGGCTAAGTGTGCCGACCTATACAGGATCTGATATTGGCATTGTGTAATACAACTACACGTTACGTTACTAGGTCTAATCCTAGGCAGTGTTTCTTGCATACTGTCGGCTGTCCTGTGCAACAAGATTCTACTGTTTTACACTCACCGCAGTTTGCTGCAAGTACAGGGTCATTGAACAGCATAGTATAGAAATGAATATGCAAAACATTCTGGTCTGTAATTGTCATATGACAATCAATCCTACTGAAACCATGGAGGCACTCTCATGTGTTGACAGCCCATAGAGGATATTGTAGTCTAACGACTAGTGCTTGTTGATACAATCAAATGATGGATATTCAAATCCAGCTCTTGTTCCATTTGACTCTCTTCACGTAGTTTGTCAAGAATTTGCTGTTACCTTTACACCTATTTTGACCCGATGTGGAACATCTAGGAAATGAGCGTGCCATGTGGAAAGATGATATTGTAAATACATGTATGTCCAGGAGTACTCATCATTGAGTGATTTGTGGTAGATTGTTTTTTGTGGAAAAGTGCTGAGTTGAGCCAATGGAGTCTGATTGATTCAGTGTGATCCATACCTTTCATTTCAATTCTTTAGGGATTATGCTTTAGTGCCCAGAAGATATTGTGAGATTTATATTTGGTAGGCTGGTGTTGAAATATGGATAGGCACCGAAGGCACTTGATTCCAGCCATAGCACATGTACTATGTGCTAATCCATCCAATTTCTTACCGTTAGTCTGCAGAGAGCACTTACAACCTGTGTCTCTACCTTTTATTTTGCAGGCGGGTGTCCTGAAGTCCTTCCCTCGCATCAAGGTGGAGTTTGCCCTGTCCGGTGATGTGGAGTCTTCCCACCGCGTCAATCCACCCATCTCCTGCACCCTGCCCACCCCAGAGGAAGAAATAGCCCAGGCCCCTGCCTGTTGGCTGTGGGACTACCTGCGACGGAGTGGTCAGGTAACAGACTACAGTAGGGGGGAAGACATACTTGCAGTGTTGCAATCAAGTCCTTTCCCCTAGTCCAAATGGGGAAACTATACAACTATATCTCCTCAAATAAAGTCAGTAGAGATGGAATCAAGCTTGGAAAAAGTTGACAGTGTGTCTTAAGCAATAGTGCTTTTAAATTACGAGATTGAATCTAGGAGTTTGTAGATACAGATTTACTCGAAATGTCCATGGATTACCATTGCTCAAAGTTCTTTTGTCATTCTTGTTTTATGTAGTCAGCGAATGTAGAAGTCTGGGAACTTCTTGTTTTCCCTTTCATACTGAGTGGTTAACTTTAATGTCAGATGGTTAATTTTAATGTCAGATGGTTAACTTTAATGTCCGATGGTGAACTTTAATGTCAGATAGTTAACATTGCATGCAATGAAATGGACACTTGCATGAGACAGCATAACCCCACCAGTGTTGGTAATCTTACACAGTCAATACCCTATATTCTGTTTTCTAGCTGGAACTCACACAAATCTGTCAAATCCACCTGTTATTGGGAGGAATTTATGGGACGAGAAAGTGCCAATCAAGCTTCTATGCTCACAGCTTGACAATGCTGCTTGAAAGTTTAAGCACAAAGGTTGCACCATTGAATTCCTGCACAGTGATTGACTTTGAAGGATACAGAAAAGTCCTAGCAAGATGATTGAAGGATTCCGTTGGAATATGTGAAGACTGTCTTTTTCATGGGCTTGTCTCTCTGATAATTTTCGTTAGCTTTATGGGTGCCATTGGTATTCTTTGCAGGCTGGTTTCTTCTTGCCTCTCAGTGGTGGCATAGACAGCTCAGCGACAGCATGCATCGTTGCTTCCATGTGTCGACTAGTGTGCGCTGCAGTCAATGACGGAGGTATGACTGCATCTCTCATCAGCACTGTTTCATTTCCTGCAATTTTAGTCGTGAAAGGATTTGGTTGAATTTTCTAAAATTTAGTGCAAAATACTGTTGTTGTCAACTTGTAGAAAAATCCATTGGTACATCCATGTTGCTTACATGTTTATGGTTACATTATTGCCGGACAGTCCCAATTGTCCCCTTTAAAGGTGAAAGGTGTTGTGGTAACTACTTGTACGTAGCAATTTTTCTATGGCAGTCATTCCAAACGAAATCCAGCACAATTTTTTTTTCACAATTGAAGGGGGCCATTTGGAGTGACCAGCGACAGTGCTGCCAGGTTCATCTATTGTCGATGGAGCCAGACGTGATCACCATATGCATAGGAGGGCTAACGGCTCTGGTTGTTCTTTCGAAAATTCCCTAACGTTCAGTTATACAGGCATGATATTACCTCAGTCTAAGTCGTCTGATTTTTGTGCTCCGTAAAATAATTCTGGTTGCTCCAACTGTCCCGATTGCATGGTATTTTTCCACTATATTGAGCCTACACCTGTTGTGCCGCCCTGGACCCCATCTGGGGCCTTTGGACCCCCACCCTTGTAATCTTTCTGTGACAGTGGTAACTATTTAATTAACCTGCGCCTTCACTGGTTCTAGCATTGTGTACGTGCTTGAACTAGCTATCTGGTGGTTTGAGCATTTGTGGTTGAGACAACCACGACCCTCGGTGAGTAGTTTGGTTATGGCAGATGAGGGTAAACTTAGATTGAACTTTAACAACACCCCTCGGCAGTGTGTTGGGAATAACAGTTTGCCTTTGGCTTCTCTTTGTTCTATTTCAGATGAGCAGGTACTGGAGGACGTCCGACGTATCACAGCTGATCCCTCTTACGAGCCCAGCAACCCTCAAGAGCTAGCCAGTAGGATCTTCTTCACCTGCTACCTGGGTACAGTCAACTCCTCGGTGGATACCTACACCCGGGCCAAGAACCTGGCTGCAGAAATCGGATGGTAAGACTGCCTGTAGAGAATGGCGCATGTGACTGAATTTTATCTCCACTTTTTCCTCAAGCGTGTGCTTAATTTGGTGAGTGTGAAAGATAAGATGTAGCAGTTATTAATCAGAAATCTTGCAGGCGTTGACAATTTTCCCTGTGATGCTCGGGATAAGAAAAATGTCTGTTTCTTTTGTTTTTCAAGTCAAAGGGACAATTTTTAGGTATAAATGTAGTTCTTCCAACATATTTTGTGGAAATTTTCAAATGTGCTCCTGATTTGCAAAATGTAGTGTAATATATACATACATGTAGGTTCAAATACCTTGCTTTGAGTGCCACTTGTTTGAATTGAACGGTTTGTGTACTTAGTTTTACTGTGGCATCCATATTTCACCACAGTAAGTGAGTTACACTTGTAAACCAAGAGCAATAGTTCATGCGCTTTGAAAGCAGCGTGAGGGCAGTATCAGGTGTGGGCATGCCTTAAGGTGTTGACTGTCCGTGTATAATACTGCCTACATGTGCATTGAATTTAGGTAGTGTTTACCCTGCCGATGCTAAGGCAAGACAATATGAACATAATGAATATTTATGAATGCATGAGGTGGCAGATTCCATTCCTCGAGGTGAAGCCGATTGGAATGCAACATTCATCATACCTCTGTCTTGGATACTGTGCATTTATTGGCCCAGAATGATCACATATCACATGACAGGGCAATATACCCACATATCACACTCACCGTGAGATATCTCTTTCTGCTGACAGTGTGAGTACGCGCACGAGACAGAAGAGTTTCGGGAAGTTCGCAAGCGGACATTTCCGCTCCTTTAGTCAGTTTTGCGTGGTACCCATGATATGTTTTGTGCATAGGCTACCAGGGAATTCGATCAATGATCACACTCGTATAACAGACTCGTTCCCATTCCCGCAGTGTATAAGGTAATGGGGGACCGCTAACCAGACTACATTTACTCACTGGTACCCACACTAGTTTCACATCAAAGTTCACTCAATTGAAGGAGGTGAGGGAACAGTGCATTTCCAGATGATATCGTTTACATCTGTTTATAAGTTAATTGTACAGTATGACAGTAGGCCTATCATCTTCTGAAATTCAGAGCTTGTTTCTTTGGATAAATTAAGGCAGAGGTATGACAAAACAATTGTTGGCCGCCGTGGTGTGGGATATGATGTTTTGAACACCCAAGGGATGCATAGCACCCCAAGGCGAAGCTGAATCCGCTATGCGTCCCTCAGGTGTTCAAAACATCATATCCCACACCACAGTGGTCAACAATTGCTAATTATTCTTTATTCATTATTTGTTTTATACAGTGCTTGTAAAGTTGCTACTTTACTTCTTTGGCTTGGCATGAAAGCAAAACACAAAGTTTTCACAATCAGAACAGCAAGTGAAATTTTGTCTGTCTATGTGAAGAGCTGCACGCACTTATGATTTAGCATTCATTGTGTATGAAAAGATAAGATCCATGAATTTTAATACATAGTTCAGTGGTAAATTTGCCCTGGTATATTTAACAGTCGTACTATTGAGTGCACTAGGGGATTTATTTAGGTGTTGGATAAAGAAGATATCTGGGAGATTTGTTGTTGAACATTTTTCCAATTTGGAACTCGGATATCTCTGCAGCAATCACACAGGCATCACCATTGACTCAGCCGTCAACTCCACCGTCAACGTCTTCAGCAAGGTCAGCGGCAAGGCGCCACGGTTCCGGGCGGAGGGGGGCAGCGCCAGGGAGAACCTTGCCCTGCAGAACGTGCAGGCCCGCACCCGCATGGTGCTGTCCTACGTCTTTGCCCAGCTCAGCCTGTGGTCGCAGGACAAGCCGGGGGGTCTGCTGGTGCTGGGAACAGCCAACGTGGATGAAAGGTTGGTTTACCCGTAGAACTGTGGGGCTTGGTGGGGCTCCTCATTCTAACTTTCTGAGCCTTACAGTTAGTTTGGTCCTGTTCTGCAGACCATTTCATGGCACTGCATGTAACTTAACCCCTTCGCTCCGGGAGACGGCAAGAGCCCCGGCTTTGTGTGAGGATTAGTGCATACCACACATACAGACTATTCACCATGCAGCTGCTGGTTCAATGGGGCCTGCTGATGGACAAAGCCCTCCATTCAGGGCATACCACAGCCCAGCAGTCACGGTCAAAAGAATCCCAGCGCAAAGGGGTTAAGGATTTATGCAAAGCATTTGTTCCTGTAAGTTTGTGCTTATTTCACCTATGGAACAGACGCGCATGCCATGTAGATGGCTCATAATATTGATGCACCAACACGGCAAAGAAATATTTCTTGCACTGTCACAAAAATACGCTAAGATAATAACACTAAAAAGTCATTTGTAGTGTCAGTGTACAATAACTTGAGACGTGATCAGAAAGCTTTTTTTTTGGCCGTAAAGTACATGTAATATGATACTTTCTTATGTCCTCTGTGATTTTCAACATGGCAGAGTATCAAGTCCTGTAACTTTATAAGATGAAAAGTGTGGACCTTGAGTTTGAGTTGCAGTAAGAGGTTGTTTTTATCACCCATCCTTCCTTTCATTTTTCTTGTGTTTCCATAATCTTCAGTCTGCGTGGCTATCTCACCAAGTACGATTGTTCCAGTGCCGACGTCAACCCCATTGGTGGCATCAGCAAGTCCGATCTGCGCATGTTCATCAAGTACGCCATGGAGAAGTTCAATCTGCCATCCCTTAGAGGGTAAATTTTCAACTCCAGTGTGTATTTCATTTATGGTCAAGAAAGCTATACTCGACTTTAGACATGACTTGAAATAGTGCAGTTGTCAATGGCGTCTCTCTGTGGAAGACTTGGCCCACTTTATAAATGTAGAATGGTTATTTCTTTTTCTTGGCAAGGATCATGGATGCACCACCGACAGCTGAGTTGGAACCTCTGAAGGAAGGACAGGTGTCACAGACAGATGAGGCAAGTCCCCCCCCCCGTTACCTTCAGACAAAATGAGTGGCAAATCAGTGGAGCCACATTTGAGTTAAAGATCTTGAAAATGAATCTTGTACCCTGTGAATCAAGAGGGGCCCTGAATGTTTTACATCCACTAAGTGTCCATTTTAGTCAGGACGCCAAAATTAAGCGACACATCAAAACGAGCTCAGTTTGCCCTTGCTATTAACCACTTTGGGCCGGGGGCATCTATAAATGTTGATTCTGCTGGGCCAGATTATTTTTCATTTTTTTCTGTTTCCAAAATTCTTTAAAAATTCATATCTTCATTTACTGAACACCTACACCCACACAAATGACTGTCTGGTGGCTACTCTAATCTGACAGACAATATCTATTGACACCGGAATATTTCAGCCAGGCCTGCAGCCTTGTAAAAAGAGCCCAGTTTGTGCGGTGTTATGTAACTTTATTTTGTTCACGAACCTGGCTCAGTGCGCTGCTGACTTCTTTTCAATAGGGGCCAGATTAGCACTTTTGTCTCGGGTGGTAATCCGCTCGCTATAAATGCCCCAAACCCTGGTATATGGTTTCAAAACAAGGCTGGATTATCACCACTTTTAAGTGTGAAAAAATGTTGCTAATGCTCTGCAGCGTGGTCTTTTGTTCGGAGTACGGTCTTTTATTATAGGGCCCTGTTTTCTTTGTTCAAGTTCGGAGACCCCGGCCGCGCATACAAAGCATACGTCTCCGATTCCGGAGTCCCCGGCAGGAAGTGGTTAAATGTTGCTCCATTGTGCTGTTTGTCAGACTTTTCAAGTTTTCTTAAGGCCAGCCAGAGAGTTCCCATTGTGAATGAGGGGAAAATCATTCTCGTTGCTGCTGCAGGAGGACATGGGCATGACCTATGCGGAGTTATCCACATACGGTCGACTCAGGAAGATAGCCATGTGTGGCCCCTACAGCATGTTCTGTAAGCTGGTCCACGAATGGAAGGAGACCTGCACTCCATCACAGGTGAATGCTTGCTCCCTCCTCCCCCCAACCGTAACCCAATGCTAACCCCTCCCCTTCCCCTGAGTAAAAACAGGCCGAGACGTGATTCATATTCAGTATTATTGTGGGCTAAGCCTGATGATTTGAGCACGTCGTCACGTGGACTCTCAATCTTGCACTCTGTCAGGAATTTGAGTTTTCTTCGTTCTTGAGTACAGTGTGACAGTGAGTATTATTTGTACTTTCTTAGTTGTATTCATTTTTTGGGGCGGCAGCATTAAGCTGCACGTCGCACCCGTTTCTAGTCTGTCGAGGCAGTACAAGAATCAGTGCCTTTTGAAATTACAAACAGGTGCTGAATGCAATGTAAAGATTAAATACCAGGAATTAAACTGAAAAATCTTGCGAAGTGATAACGTGCAGGATGGAATGATTTGACAAAATGCTGCACATTTATGTCTTCCTGAAGACCACTCCAGCATTCAAAATAAGAAACTGACCGTGGTGTTACCCTGTTCATGCCCAGGTCATGTACAGGTCAAGTGTCTCATCGGCCAGTAGACTGTGCACATTTCAAAGTTCATGTTTACCTGAAGTTCAAGAATATGTGGGTGATTACATAAATTAGAGGTCCAACTTGGGGACAGTTTGGTGTTCTGTTACAGGTGAAATCATTCAGCTTGTCTGGATGGAACTAATATTAGTACTGTTCACATTCTGTAGATCAAACAGGATTACATTGTTTATGACATGTACAATATACAGTTCAATCTGCACAATGTTTGATAATAAGGATACAATGTTACGTGAAGAAATGTTGAATGGCTTCACGTGTAACAGGACACCAAAAGGTCCCCAAGTTGGAGGACATGCATGCAAGTGTAGTGCAACTGTTGTAATAATGTCTCTTCAGATTAGTTTATGGTCCGAGTATGATTTCTCTTGGTGTTACTACACAGACCTTTCTTTCGAGTAACTGCATATAACGAATCATGCTCTGGAATCTCTTCGCTAGGTGGCTGAGAAGGTGAAGCATTTCTTCCGCTGCTACTCCATCAATCGGCACAAGATGACCACGCTGACGCCGGCCTACCACGCCGAGAGCTATGCCACCGACGACAACCGCTTTGACCTGAGGCAGTTCCTATACAACACCAAGTGGTCCTGGCAGTTCAAGTGCATTGACGAGGAGGTAGGTGGAGCTTGGCGGGGCATGGGGGGTTGAAAGTGCAAAGGGAGGTGTTAAATGCAAGGTGGCTTTCCTTGTATGTCGATTGTCTCATTTTGTCCCGTCTCCAAAATCTTTCTGAATGTTTGTAGTTGCGCTGCTGGGGTCTGGCCAGAAAGCAAATTTAAATCCAAACAGGTAGAAACAAACACTAAATATTTTATGGGCTTAACCATAGGAGAAATTGACATTTCATTTTCAATTTAAAAGCATTTTTATCTCAGCATTGTCGACTCTTAAACATTTGACTGGTGTTTTGTTTCTAACACAACTTTATATTGTGCCTTCGAATGTACATGTAGCTGTTATTTTTTCGGTTTAACCTAAATGATTTGAACCAGATGATCCATGGTTAACGTTTAATTTGGAGCATTTGGTGTTTTCATAGTCATCAAACTCAAATTAGTCATGTAGAGAGAAAGAGTGTCAAATTGAGAATTTTCAGGTACAAAATAAAACTGGTTGATGAAGTTGATTTGTGTTTACTTGCAGGTTGAGAGGTTGAACGAGGAGAGGTCGAAGGAGACAAAGACAGAGAGGCAGAAAATGTCTCTGGATGTATCTGATAGATCAAACTCGGAAAACTCCCACCATGCTTCAACCTCCTCCAACACGACCCCACACAAGGTCATCCAAGGTCACGGGGTCAAGGTGAGTAAGGACAGCTTTGTTGAATCAGTCTCCTGCATCCCCATAGTGCCCACAGTCACTGTTACAACGGCGACAGGTGAAGCCGGTTCCCTGTCTGACGATTCATTGGGTGATGAAGCAACCCCAGAGGCAGTAACCGGCACTCCAACCTCTGCGGACGACACAGGAGCTCCGAGAATGCGGAAACGTGGCCACGCTGGCAAATCAACGGCAGAATCGCACCTGGATGATTCTCCTAAGAAGAGGCGAACAGAGGTTGGTAACGGCAACAACAATAATGGCAACAGCATCAACCATGGCAGCAAGGATCAGACCCCATGGAAACGCATGGGAACCTGGCTGAAACGTAGAATGTCAAACGAAAACAATGCTATTACAAGTGACACAAACACCACAAAAACTAAAAAGTAGACACCGGCAAATTGTTTTGCCGTGAGAAGTATTTCGTGCCCACAAAGAGGACAAAACCAGTTAGTAATTGAAATAGTAAACATTTCAAAGCTGGGGCCAATTTCATAGAGCCGCTTAAGCACAAAAAAACCTTGCTTAGAAAACAAAGGTTACCAGCTCAAAATCTCAGTGATTGTCATGCTAACCAAAAGACAAGTGAATACCATTCCAAAATAATATACATCACATGCAGTTTGGGCTGGTAACCTTATTTATCAAGCAAGGTTTCTTTCATGCGTAAGCAAATTTTGTGCTTCAGCAGCTCTATAAAATTGGCCTCTGTTCTTTATCATCCCAAAGTTTTATGCTGCCGAAGTGTGTAGGGGATTTTACATGTATATATAGGACAGATCAGAGTTTACAGTGTTCGAGAAAGGGAATTTTTGTATTCAGTTTGGGGTAATTTTCCTTCTATGGGTATGCATTCAGTGGTCTCTCTGAGCACTGTTACAATGACAGTTTCTGTGTACAAGTTGTCAAATTTATCTTTAGGTCCCAATCCTTTGTTGTTTATTGCTTTCATTCCTGATGATACAAGGTTCCTCTTATCACAATAATGCTAAGAATGTAGGTTGAAAGCCAGGGTATGTATGCCACTACCGGTAACAGTATGCTACCGAGTATATCCCTAGTTGCCGGTCAAATCAATAATGGAATGAAAAGTGTTCATAGTTCAAGCTCCATGCTAACGTTCCTTCATGTCAAGAAACACTTGTAGTGACAGTTTGCTGTCATGTACATCAATTACTTCTTCCTCTGCATGCATAGCTTGTGAACCAAGCATACAGCTGGTAGAAAAGATTTTTACCTTTTTTTGAACAAAAAAGGGAATAGCATTAAACTGCATGTTGAATGTGACTGCATGCGGTGCATGATGTATTCAGAGAAATAACGTACATTAGGACATTTTAAGTATATTTTTTGATCAGTTTAAAAGAAACATTGACCAGATAGGGCAAGACATGCCGTGAGGTTGGTTTGTACTCAAGAGTGAAAGCAGCTTTGTAATCCCGTGTCTAACATACCCACGTGGGTCCACCTAGCAGATTTCAGAGTAACTGATTTGTGATTTGCTTTCCAGTTGCATGAAGTATGAACTAGCCTTCATACAACAGCAACGCCGACGCCAGACGTCAATAGCCCTGTAATGGCACGTTGGCTCAGATAAAATGGGGTCATTCTAAGTCATGACTCATAGGTACCACCAGCTCAGTATTAAATTGTCCAATGTAATTGGATTATAGGGAAGCATTAACGAAACACACTTCAGAAATAATCCCCAGTGTTCACAGATGTACGAGAAAGCTATTATGTATGTACATGTATGTAAGTTCACGAGATAGCTTCCACATTGGATAAATCATCACATACAAAATTTTTATATGATGATTTCACATACATTTACTTTGAAAACTGAGGTGTTTTATTTTATGAATTTGGTGGTAGATCACCATAAAGAAATTGACAATGCGAAATACTAATTTTATTTTGAAAGTCGAACACGCTTTTAATTGTACCAGATGCATGATATTTATTGTACAAAAAGCATCACAAAAATACAGATTTGTGTACAGAATGGCGGTCTTCTTTGTTTGCAGGTGTGATGGTTCTGTTTAACTAAATGGAGTATCGCCTGCCGTTGGAGTATTGTGTGCAAAGAACTCCAATTGAAAAAGGGCCCGACATTTTAATCTTAGCAGAGTCCTTCTCAACACAGGAAATGCATGAAACTTGTCAGGTTCACTGCAAACTGAAAAACACAAGAGTTTGTCACACAAATTGATGATGTATCAATTACAAATCCTAATATCTGAAGGTGTATGCTGTCGTAAATTCCTGGTCCAAATTTGAAAATGTTACTGTGGGTTTCATTAAGTAAAACAGATTTGTACCAGAACCACTTCTAATTTGTCCGAAGAGTGTAGTGTTACCATCTCTCATTTAAAAACTGAAGGACCTCTCATCTGAGAGACTGGCTCTTATTTCTTTTTCATGTAAGACAAAAGTCTTGAAAACTGCACAACTACGTATTCATGAAATTGGGAGATGTTAAATGTATGGAAATTGGAAATCTACTTGCTTTGTATCAGGAATTTCTACAGACATTCCTATTTTCTGCAATGCCCTGACGTGTGATTATTGACCCATTTCTCCAAAATATGGTGAAAAATAAAAAGCCATCAAGTTAGAGATACATCATTCTATAATATCATCTATAAAAATGGTAAATGCACACCAAACTGCCTGTGCAAACCTGATTAAAGGTAACATGATCATTGATTACTCCTGCAATTTAGGTTGTGACTGATAATATGTAAATACATAAACCTATACCTGCTTCATAAAACTTGAGCAGTTGCCCTTCTGTGCACAGGAGTCAGGTTGGCGTGGTGGTTCTTTCCTCGCCTTCCACCTCTGCGGCCCAGGTTCGAATCCCGGCCCAGTCCACATGTGGATTGGGTTTTCAGTTCTAACCTGATTCCGTGGGTTTTCCTCCCACCTCTAAAACTGTAACTGCTTCTCACTGTCTCCTCTCTACAGGTTTCTTCAGGCTTGCGAGCTACAGTGCCTAGGGCACGTTTGAGGAATCCTTGGTGTCATTACCAGAAATCTATAATAATGATAATTTTTCAGACTCATTGATGGTAGTGTATTGTGTACTTTACTGTACTTTGTTGACCTGTGAAGCAGAGTAGGGAACTGCCGGGAAAGTACTGCATAATATGCTACAATACATGTGCAGTATATCGTGTAAACACTCTACACAAATCATTAACCAATGCTCTCATGAGGACACACCCCCCCCACCCAATATTCATGACAATGAACAGTGTAAAGCACACACGCTCCACAAGACCTACATTTCACCCAATGCGGAATACATGTAAACCTCCGAGAATCGATACATGTACACTGCTATACGTCTAGGTATAAATCCTGACAGTTTCCACTGCACTTTCAGAAAGCGCCAGTGTTAGCAAAGTAATGTGGAAAGACGACACCCAATGGGGTTTACATAGCGCATGTGGTTACAGGCCCTCATATGAACAGTTTCAAATGTACCTAAAATTATTAATTTTCACTGATCAAACTACAAACTCTCTTATAATCATGTAACTTAACGCTTGAAGGCATTTCACAGTTTATGTACATGAAAACCATCCTGATTTTACAGCCAAATATTTTGGGCACAGAGACTTTGATACATTGTGACCTACGGATGGGAATCACTGACACGACTCGTCTGGCGTGTCTTGATGGCAAGAAGAAGGCTGGGGCAACGCTGGATTTTGTCAGATGCTGGTAAATACACATTGTAAATCTTTCCGGCAATCAGTATACAGGATGCTGAATACTGACAACAAATTGTTTCTGTAGAGTGAAGCATTGAACTCGGATAGGATCAGAGACCCCCATAAACAACTATCAAATTACATATAAGGCATTGTTGGTCTCGTCTGGCTTCTTCGTCTGGCTGCAGGGTGAATATCCCCCACACAAACACACACAACATGAATTAATTCAAGGACAGATGGGAAGAGGCAACCACAGGGGATTGCTGTATCTATCCACTGCGACATCTCGTAGGTGAGAATCTTGAAGTTACATGCAACAGCTTGCGCACATTAAGTCTCCTTTAAGTAACATCCAACACAACCGTCTGTGATCTGCCGTGACCCTTGCCCATTTTCTGCTCGACTGGACTGCTGAACAGGAAAAGGAACCTTATTTTTAGGTGCACTGTGCCCAATTTTGTCACTAGACAGAGGGGACTGGTATTTCCATGGCATAACCAACATTTTTAGCTCACTGGAGATTTCCTTTTAAAAAAATTTTTCTTCACAAACGTGAGATGATACGATCCTATGTATAAAGCACAGTTACCAGCAGATTTCCACTCGTGTTCCTATCCCATGGTCCCTTTTTGTCACTGGCCCTATCTCCAACTGACCGAATCCCCCCTCCCCCCAATAAAGTAATTAATGTCACCAAACATTTTAGGCAACCAACACTAGATTAAACCAAACAAGCATTTTCGTATTACTTCCACGTCCAATGATATGCATACCACATGTATATAAATGCCTGGAATCTACAGTAAATAAAAAAAGTACAGTGCCAGTAAAGCAGATGACCACTTGTACACACTGTATTCATCAAAACCATCAACAACAAAAAGGGAACTAGATTATGTACACTACATGCTGCCACTGTTTGGCTTCTGTCAAAGGCTCTCCGAGCTACGTCATCAACTTTAAATTTATGCGTTGATTTAAAAAAAAAAAAAAAAGGTACTCCAATGTCCAGTCCCCTCTCTTCTTCATACGGCGATCTTCTCCCCTGATCTTAGCATTCAGTGGCCGTGCCGCACACCCTTTCTTCCCTTCGGGGCCCGCATGCCTGGCCGTTGCCACGCGCCTTCTTCTTGATCTTTCTCATCCTTGTCTGGGTGCCATCTCCTCCGCAGGTAACGCTGCAGGGTGTCCAATCTCCCCAGTCGGTCATCATGCAGTCGCGGGCTGGGAAAAAACAAAGATAAACAAAACATGAAGAATTGGGCTCTGATTAAGGGGAAATCCTGTTTTTCCCCCATCCTTTCCTCGAACATACACAACATGCTCTTCGATAATGATAACAATGAACATCCGGAAGGCACGCACATCCATCTGATAATAGTCTCTCGCAGAGCTACAAAAAGTAACCCCAAAAGAATTAGATCCCCCCCCCCAAAAAAATTATGCAAGTATGGTTTATATTCTGGTCTCATAAGAGAGATAATACAAGTATGTTTTGAGACACTTTTCGACGGAAGTTTCTGACCGAAAAAACTGTCAACTCCTCCTCCTAGCATACATGTGTAATTTGAACATGGGTGAAAATGATGGAAGAAAAAATGAAAGACTTGTGATCCCGAAGCATTTTGAAGGTTTAACTTTGTCCCTCCCAGATCTTTCAACATCCACCAGAATTTGGAGAATTTTGTAGGATCAAGGAAGGTATCTACCTCACATGGGGCTTATTGACCCCTTGCAAGTTAGAGACCACGGAGAGTTCTGAAGGTTTCCAAGAAAAAAACTTTCTGGAGGATTCAGAAACACCCCCAGCAAATATGTCACAGGAGCTCAGGGTAAACGTTTAATTAATTAATTAATGATCAAGTCATTCTGAATTCTAATTATTTGTTGAAACATACTGCACTTTTTTTTTTTTGCTTGCCAACACGTGGCAGATCACAAAGACAAAAACCATGGGACCACATGAAAGTCATTTCATCTTGCTCAGCCTCATTTTGAAAGATCGACACTTAAGAGCCTCCTGTCCCTGGCACTTTGACAATGTGCAAACTTCTAGGCAATTCTAGATGCTAGTTAGACATGCAGTTACCTTTTTCCTACAAGATAGTGCACTTGAATCATGAAAGCTCATTACCGCAACCCTCTCGGTGTCAAAATAAGTTTTTTTTTCCTGGAAAATGTCCTTTTCTTAAAACTTCCTAGTGCACCTTTAATCACAACCCGGGCAAAAACCTCCTCCCTCTGACATTCATCTTTCACAACCAGAAGAAAATGACTGCACCTAAGAACTGTCACTTATCAGCCCACTAAATACTGATGACTTTGAAAGGGGAAGAAATACGAATTGAAATCCTTGGGGGCAAATGTTAATGTTGTGGTGATCCACAATGGCATACACGGCCTGAGGGGGGGGCCATTATCAACCCAACAACTGTACATGTTAGCACAGGCGATGGCAAAATAATAAATTGAAGTAGTACATCAAATGTGTGGTTGATTACCCGTTCACTTCATCATGTTAGTGCTTACACGTCCCCCATAGCAAGTCAACCGTACAAACAAAAAAAGAAGAAATGGCTGAAGACAAGCTGACGTGCCCAAAGGCTGATAACGCACATGATGTGTAAAATCCTCATCTCGACATCCAACATCCAACGTGCCCCTTTCACTGACAAGCGTAAGGCTGAGAAGGTACGGAGTGAGTAGTGGAAATGAGAAACATCTTATGCTCAGAACTGCGGGGGTTCCCAGATGGAACAAATGGGGTTCCTAGTTGAAAGCATTTCAAGTTTTCGCTCCTTTGACTTTCTCCGCATAGTAACTGTATATTAATGTGTTGTAGCAGTTAAAATCACCGGATTCACTCTGTACACAAAGCTAACAGTCTAAATTTTTACAGAAGTTGAAATCCAAAATTTCATGACTATCTACAATTTGAACTGTTCATAACAAGCAGGAGTTGCAAAAACTTGAATCAGTGAGACAAACATTCTAGTTGATATTAACTCACATTTGGAAGTGAAAGTCAAATATCTGTAGTCTAACCAAAGTTTGGGGATCACTTACGGCATGGCCCGGCATTGCAGTTTTTCTTTTCTTTCTGCTTGCCGCAGGCCCGACCACCGTGACGGGCTTTCTGCTTGACCATGCGCTGCCGCTTCATGGTTCCTTTGCCGCAGGACCGCGAGCATTCAGTCCACTCGCTCCATGATGACATCATGCAGTCGATGGGCTGTCGCCCTGCCAACGAGACGGATTACTCAATTCAGCAATCACATACGAGGTTATTCAGAAGTCCTTTATTACATTTACATTGGACTTATTATTGTTTGTTTTCCAAAAACTCACTTAAAAGAAATCATTCCCAAGTTTGAAGATGGTGACTTAAAAATTTACTGAATTCTAAAGTTACCAAGAGAAGGCCAAACCGCGACAAAAATGAAATCTTCAAGATAAAAAAGGAAAGATCCGGACTGTATGATGACAGAATGCTGGATGCCTCTCTCTGCCATGAACACTGAACGTGAATAAAGTGGATTATGCATCACTCTATAGATTATTACTGATAGAGGAAGCGTTAATAGTGGATGAGTGATGACGAGCCCACGATAAGATGATAATGCGACAGAGACTAATGCAGAAAACAGTTTAATAAAACAAAAAAAATATATAAACCTCAGCTAAAAGCAAAAGGGTGAATACCGTGATAGAAAGAGAAATTAACTCAGAAAATGATGTGAGATCGAATATGTCAGCAGTAAACACAGACCTAGGCGAGAATGGAGGATGAAGACTTTTTTAAGAGAAATGCTTAAGTTGTGGGCGGACTTGTGAAATCTCAGCTCCCGGTCTTCTTTCACCAGGGATAAAAGATTATTTGATACTAAATGAATCTTCAAGGAAACGTTAATTTCGGAGGGGAGAAAACCTAGAGGTAAGTGAAAAGAGGCATAAGAAAAAAAAGTGAAAACGTGGCAAAGTGTGACAGTTCCAAGGAGATTTGAGGGCAAAATGACAACCTGTGATAATCAGTTTGAATAAATAAGCCAACTGAACTACTTGAGACAACGAATTAAATTTCTCAAGAAAATTAGTTGAATGGATGCTTACGCCTTCCTTTGGGTGGCATCGTAACAGGATCTTCATTCCCTGGATTAGGCACTGCAGACCAAATAATTGACAATTATTTCCAAATGCAGCAAAATCGAACATTTGTAAGGGCCTGTTTTTCACAAAGTGCTTACACTTGATAAAATGCACACTCGCAAGAGTGCTGGGTGTACGACAGAAATGGCAAATATCAAATAATGCAAATATCGGTCTAGAATCTCGCTTCGAATCCACTGAAGGGAATAGTTGTTCACACAGTCTATAGAGGCTGTTCTCTCAGGGCTCCGGTCCAAACCTCCGCTTCGTTTCCACCTGCAGTTTCAAGCTTCGGTTTCATGACAAAAAAGTTGCCCAGGATGAGAGACTCTGCCTCAGCACAGTCTCATTAATCTGCTCCAGAAACACTTTCAACTGTCCAATGTGAGGCTAAACGGAGCAATTTTACTTTGTTCCAACAGCCTAAGTCTAAAAATGAATCCAAGATGATGAAACTTAGACCAAGGAGAATGGCCCTGGTCCCAACTTCAGTAAAAACACTGGAAAACCAGTGAATTCTGACTGAGATGCTGCCATTACTCAAAGCAAGTACCATTATAAAACAATTTGTGGCTCACCCTGTGAAAATGAGTCATGGCACTATTTTCTTTCAGAACTTTGTTACAGTTTGCTTAGAGAGAGCCAAGCTGTTTATGTTTGTAAACAGTTATGTACATGTCATTTTGGCATCCTGATGAAAATGGACATTGTCCGGGTGAAAAAATGTTGATGGTTTCCATTCTTTTGCTTTTTAAACTTTTATTAAGGACCTGTTTAAACTCACAAGTGTCTCTGACAATGTATTTCACGGAGCGGGTCGCAGTTCAGCACTGCTTTACCACCAGCAGTTCTCAAGAATTTCTGACAGAACATCAAGTGAAGTGTGTCTACTCACTGACTTTGGGAGGCATGGTTGCGATTTCCTCTGGTGCTGGTTTCTTCATCATGGGTGTTGTCCTGTTGCCTTCCCCGCCCCCTTTGTTCATCATGCCAGATTTGGGGGGCATTGTTCCCCCATTTGGGGACGACATCCCTTCTTTAGGGGGCATCATTCCCTCTTTTGGGGGCATCATACCCTCTTTGGGTGGCATCATGCCTTCTTTGGGGGGCATTCCTAACCCACCTGCAAGAAAAATTACAATATCTAATAAGGAACTTGTTAGGCACGATGTCAACAGATTTTTATCGGCGCGCTGCGAGCTGTCCACCCGCTACACGTGGCGCAGCGTGGCACCCAGACCAGTCTCCAGTTCATTTAATATCCCTATTGTGCGTTCGTTATTGTTATGTTAACAAGCAACACGAATAGGGAAATTCCTCTCTCACACAAGGCGCGCCACGGCGCGCCGATGTCCATTGTGAATTTCGGCCACAGAGCGAGTCCTGTGGAGTGGGGGATCAAATTTCACGGTCTGAGTACAGTCGTTTTCCGATCTCCAGATCTGCCTTCAGCTCAAATAGACCTCCAACTCCAGTGCAATGTGGTCAGCACTCTGTGAGCCACAGCTACATGTACGACAACACTATTTCCAAATTGTAAATTTTTAATCTGGACAGAGGTTCGACGACATTAACGATGACACTCTGTTTCAAATAAATTCTCTGACTGACCATAGAAAATGTATATTCCTGGGAGGTAATGAGCCCAGTTGCCTTTTTAGGGGCTACGGCTTTTGATTGACATTGGCTGTCTCAGCATTTCTTTTTATTTATAAACCTAGACCACGTGTGGTTTTTATTTTCCCCGCGACACCGCATAATGATACTTGGCATCCAACCCACCAAAATATTACTTAAACAGCATTTATGTATAAAACTGCGGTAGTTTAATACTTTTCCTTGCCCACTCCGTACTCCTTATTTTTATTCTGCGCAGTCAATCTGCCAAAAATAATCATCTTCCCGATCTCACCATTTCTTTATCCAAACCTGGATCACCAGTTTTATTTTTTTCCTGCCCCACCACGTACTGATTTTTTTTATTTTGCGTATTCAATCTGCCAAAAATAATCCTCCTCCCGATCTCAGCAATATCCAAACCTGGATCACACGTGGGTTTAATTTTTTCCCCGCCCCACCGCGTACTGGTTATTTTTATTCTGCGAATTCAATCCGCCAAAAATATACATCTTTACGTGTTGACCCTGTAAAATATTCTTGAGTGCTGGGATAAAATATTCCAAGTCTTGAGAAAGTATTCTGAGTCCAGCATAAGTTCTTGTGGACAATATTGAGAGTTCGATGAAAGTTAAGTTCTGACGCAGGGAAAAATATTGTGAGGCGGGAAGAAATATTCTGAGGATGGAGATATTTTTTATATATATTCCTGGGTCCGGGATATTATATTTTAAGTCTTTGGGAAAATATTCTGAGTCTGAGAAAAACTATTCCGAGTTCCCAAGTGTGAGAAAACATTATATAAAGGCTACAAAGAAAATTGAGCTTGGGAAAAATATTCCGAGGCAGAGGAATTAATTTCAGCATGGCCAAAACTAATACCCAACGAATATCTTCGGGCCCTATGGTAATTTAACTGGGTTTGTCTTCTCGCAATCAAAAGCGCCAACTCTACAGTAAGGGAATGTAATAATTGATGTCATTGGGACTGCAGAATTTCATTTCCGGCCATTGACTGACACTGTTTTAAATAGCTGACGGTAGAGGTAGCGGGCTTTCAAGTTTTACAACCAATGATAACTGAGAATATGTAGAGCTTATATATCAATTGGTTTCTAGTTTCTTGTTTACGTCTCGACGATTGGTATGTTGACAGTTGAGCGTGGAGGAGGGCGGTTGATGATTATGGTTTGATAAGATAGGAGGGCAGTTTATTTGGTACACAGATGCCAAGCGGCAGGCCTCTGTTTATACACAGTAACAGAAAAATGTTTAGAGAGTGGGCCTTCTGTTATGCCAAAAAGCCTTGTTGCAAGTGGACGATTGTGACAACTCCACAATTTTGTTTCGCCTGTTGGACAAAATTTAAAGATGCTTTTTTTTTTCAGCAGAAAACCAGCATCGGATGAGTGTCTATGATTCTGTCGGCATACCGCGGCTGCCTACAAGTATCCAGAATGCAGTCATCCGTGAAAGCATTATGCCAATCTGTACCCTTTGTTATGCAGGAATACTAAGTACATGTAGGTTGGTGGCGCTGAGGGTTGGGCAGCTGGGCGCGCCGACCCTCGGCGCTGTGGAGCGCGCTGCAGCACGCCGACTAAAATCTTTTGTAACATCGCGACTTATGGGCCTAAATGTACATTCCGAGGATGTTGCATTTTGTTTACACATGCACTTTCCAATGGAGCCACTAGGGGCCCATAGTCCATTAAGCACCATAGGATAGCACCTGCAAACATGCACATGTCAACAGAGTTTGGCATCATCAGTACAGAGATCTGCTGCAGGACAACGAAAATGAAGAACACAGAAAAACACTTTGTGCAAAACATTTCATGTTATAAAGTTCAATCATTTGTAACACTGGGGATACTAGGCTACAAAACCAGTGTTAAGGTACATGTACGACAGAAATCAATGTTGTCTGCATTTGCATTGAAAAAAAGACCGTATCAGCCAGTTATATTGTGCAGAGTAAACTGGCAATCCTTACCAAGAAAAAGACACCACAAGCCGCAACAGGAAAAAAGGGAATTTTGGAAATTGTAACATCAAGAACAGACCCCAAAATAGACCTCATTCTATGCAGTGTGTGTGCAAAAAGAGTCAGTCGCTTGCATGCCATGCTTGACGACATAATACTCATTTTGTGGTAATGAGGTCACACTTTTGATGCAAAACAAATTCTGATCCAGTTTAATGGCAAAGAACAAACTTGAGCAAGTCGGGACTTACCTTGATGGGTTGTATCAGGACTTGCTACGTCCACCTCACAGACCACTTCCCCGAGGTCATCGTACTGTGTGTTGTCCGTCCTCTCAAACACCATCTTGGCCAAGGGTGGGATGGGGCTACCTGAGGGATCATAGAAGGCACCCAGCGGGTTGGAAGGGTAGGAGCTGGTGATGGGGTGGATGGGTTCCGTGGGGATGGTGGGCGCGTTGTCTGACTGTAAACAGCAAGGGGAAATTTTAAAAGGTGTTGTTGCTACACTGGGGTCTTCCAAGGAGTTTCCTCTGTACGTGGTACATTTTGGGAGCTTTCTGTTCGCACCATGAGCTCAAAATCTACTGCTAAAAAACATATGTGAACAATTTTCACACTGACAAGACAATTCAAGGCAGTATACATGGCAAATTTTAGAAACAGCTGTAACGTACAGGTTTTCACATCAAAATGATATCAGCATTGCTCATACATGTAAGTATACCAATATACATGAGCATAAAAATGAAATAGGCACTAAAATGCCCAGTACAGGTGTCACAGCCAACATTGTTTAAGGGTTAAATGGTGCATACAACGACTGTATTATTAAGCCTAACCCTCCTCAATCCTCCAAAATCCTTCAGGCGGTTTTGGAGGATTGAGGGGCAACCCGATTTTTTTCACCCCCCCCCAATTTATTAGAGGATCCCGGAGGATTGAGGAGGGTCCCTAGCAAAAAGGGCCTAAGGGTTAGGGTTCATGTTCACTTTACACAAGTTTTTTAACCAAATGACACCTAAGGAGATGTCAAGCCATAACCACTTTCTCTGACAGTTTTACAGCAAGCGTGTTAACGCCCTCTAGCAATATACGATCACAGTCAGCAAGCGACAGGTTATAAGCCATGAAATTTTCCATTCATTCTACACAACACGACGGTATGCTGAACGGGAACTGAGCCACCGTTGGTGGCCTGCAGAGTAGTACAGTAAAAATCACTGTGTGAATGAAAAATTGAATCACGACAAGAAATGTCATTCAAATCTTGTATAAAGGAGCATTTATAAAATATAACTTAGTTGTGGGCTACAACTGTGGTATCTTGTTCATTTTTAAGGTTGGGATTTTCAGCAAAACTAATCCCAGGCCTGGGGCAAATTTGCTGTAAAATAATCCCCAGGGGAAACCGGGTAATGAGACCCACGGCCACATATATACGCACCCTAAACGTTATCCCGCTGTCTGTCCCCGCGTCCCAGGGCAGCAGGTCGATCTCCTGGTGCTGCAGCCAGTCACAGTCCTGGGTGCAGAGGTTGACCCACGACACCCCAACAAACCAGTCCGGGCTGGGGCCAATCATGGACAGCGCTGACACCAGATTGTGGGTACGGTTGACGCTGAAGACGGCCGACATGTTGCCGCGGGCGGGCCATAGGCCACGACTGCGGATCACTGTTTTGATGTTTCTTGTCTGAAAAATAAACAGTACAAACAAGACATGGCACATCAAAAATAAATTTACAGACAGGAAGACGACAAAACACTAGAGTAGATTTTTTGACAAAACTCCCAGTTTTCTGGAATTTTTAGTCCTACACTAAATGTATACCTACAATATGCACAAAACATGTAAAAAGGTAAAACTGTAGCAAACGATACAGATAACATGAATGACATGAACTACACGTATATACAATGCCATAAATAAAATATTACACGTCAAAAACTATGATTAAACAATGAACAGTGATTTTTTTGAATGTACATGAACCAATCATTAAGTATGATGTTCCATGGTGTTCTTTGAAGAGCTATTTGGAAGGGTTCTTCCACAGTTTCGAAGAAAGTGTGAACCTACTTTTGATGAAATCTTTAAATCACTTTTTTTTTATGTTCTCCAAAACGTTCCATGTACCTGTGCTAAGATTTCTCTCTCCAGCGTCGTTGTTGATCCCCACTCTGCAACTCTCTGCACACCAAGAGATGCATAACCCCCTTGCTTCCAAATGGTGTAGTCCTTTGTGTGGGATGCACCAATCAGATCAGACCAATGATCGCCATGCCCTTCAAATATGGAGTGGAGGAAAAAGTGTCAATATTTCTGAAAAATGTTTTTTGGAAAAGTGTAAAAAAATTTTTGGCCTGGGTAACTACATGTACAATAATACAACTTAACTACAACAATTAAACTGAGACGAAAAAGATGCGACAAGAGAAAAAAAAAGACGATACCAATCTACGAGGATCATATTAAAATGAGTTCATTTCTGCCAAAGTGTACACGTACAGTAAATGCACCCATGTTCGCATGGTAAACAGGCGGTCTACAGTACAAGTTGATTGAACATGAGTGTCCATTACATCTGATATTTCTAAACATTTGTTTTGATTTGTTCAGCACGTCTTTCTTTTTGAGTTCATGTATATACTTCATAACAGCGCCTACGCGAGAACTAATGACATCAATATGCCCTGGTTGTGAAAACAAATTCATAGTTGATGAAACACAGTACGACACAATCTGGCGACAGAACAAATTGGTTTTTGAGACCCGATACCTCCGGGGAAGTCCTTCGGGTGAGTTTCCTGCGACCACAGCCCACGCATGGTGACCGTGTACTTGGCTGTGTGGCAAGCACAGCACTCAGTGTTAGAATCCCTCTCGCCCGTGCTAATCTGCGGTGCAACTGATGCTCCAATGTCTTAAGTATGAGAAGAAGACGGAGAAAATTGGTGGATTGGAATGATTAGGACAAAATGAGATTTCTCTTTTGAGGGGAAGGACAATGAAAAGTACATGCACATGGCAGCGATGCTATGGAAACTAAATGAGGAAGGAATTCACTGTGATTATAGGATATACTTTACAATAGGGTCTACTCTTTTGATGTCACAACTGTGTTTTTCCTACAAGTGGCTGCTAAAACTAGTTGGCCGTCAATACAAAACTAAAAGAATATTTCGCAAAGTGTTAAAAATCCCACGCAGCTATTGGAATACAAGATTATAATACACATGCTACTAAATACTAAATGAAACAATAACCCTATTTAAAATTAATGGGACAACTGTCCAGGTTGAGCAAATTTGAGGTAAAAAAAGTTGATATTTCTGCCAACTTTGGCCGCTCACTCAAGATGTTGTCAAAATGAGAGAATACATATCTGAGGTAGATGGTTGATGTAATGGCATGCGTACAATGCAGTTGGATTTACAATGAAATGAATTCTTCAAGAATTCTGGGACATGTTTATACAAATACAAATTCCAGGATATTTGCAGGCTAATGCCAGCTATTTCCAGGCCCACATTATTTTTATGTACAACAACAACAAAAATTAAATAGCATGAAAACATTTTAAAAATGCTTTGTATGGTATTTGTCCCATAAACAAAACCCCACCCCGAGAAGGTTGAGGGCTCCTTTTCAGATTACATGTACATGTAAATGTAGCATACAATATGTACATGTATAATGTGCACTAATTTTTTACAAGGCAAATGTGGCTCTACTCCGGTAGGTTGGGTCAAGATTGAGGATTTTCCAGGACAGCACAGAATCTTCACTCCCTGTGCAGTTTTGAGAGCATGAGTAAACACAATTTGTTCACAGAAAACAAGAGGCCACAATTAAGCAAACACAGTGCGACTGGCTACATCAAGTATTTGAGCTCCATACCTTCTTCACAGAGCCAAAGTGTCAGGCCCTGCTCGTCTTTGTACCATATCTGCTTCTTCTGCACAGCTGCAGCCCTAACGGGGAAAAAAACAATCCTCCAAAGATTTAAATGAGGCGCTTCGATGTAAATTACTCTAGCGGGACCTTATTGGAAAAATCTATCAACAGTGAGAGAGATTCCTGTGAGTCCTTAATGAGGAAAATGCAGGATGATGAAAGAAACCTGAAGAGAGGAAAACGGAGACATACATGTACGCCCAGAAAAGAAAGTAACAATCAAAAGAGAGAGAAAGCCAAACCGACTTCATCTATTCACCAATCTGGAGTAGTCGTGTGCCATGCACGTTACTTGTACATGAACAAGTGCAACCTTTGACCATTTTCATTCCAAGTCAATAATTCAAGTTATCAACAGGGGTGAGATTCCAAGAAAATGAAATATCCACAATATAATCACCAGAAGATTTGAGGGCCCACAGCAGCTCAGAGCTTTGCTAGACATAAATTTGCGTTTGCCTTCATGTATTGTGTTCTGCATCAACTTTTATACATTATAACACCTTAATGGAAAACCCAGGGTTTCCCAGATTTTAAAACAGATTATTTGAAAGATCCTGACATCAAGAAATTCCTGATGAACAAATCCTGGAATCAGGAAAACTCCTGACAAATCTCGCCCTAGTATCAATGACAGGGGAAGCGTTTGAGAAATGGGGTCGACCCGAGTAGGCTTACAGGTGAGAGAACTGTGCCGTGGACATCGAAATCACTGCAATATGTGGCAAATGACATGCTGTTAATTGGCGGAAGTTAAGCCGACACAAAAAGATGCCTGATGCATAATAAAGTGATCAGTAATGGATCCAGAGGATGCGACTCCGACGTGTCCCATTAGTTTTTAAGTTTGGGTGTCTTTTCATTAGGAAACCTTTTCAGGGAGATAAGGTGTCTTCTTCTGGACTGTTCAGGTCTCAACTTGCCAGTTAATGACTTTCAGACTGAAATTTTCACACAAGTAAAAAAAAAACAAGAGGGAACGTGGGATGTGACTTACTTGAAGGCAACACAGCCCGTCCCAGCTGGTGGGGCAATCCATCTGAACGTTACTGTCGTCTTGGAAGCTTTGGATGTATGGACTAGCAGCTGAGGACAGTTGATGGTGTCCGGAGAAAACTGAGAAAGCCGACCATCAATGATCTGAAAAAGAATCACAACTGAATGGCCAATCATTCATGGCAGACGAATACACATGTCTGGCATATAAGCACTCTGAATTTTGAAAAAAACAATTTGGGGGGCACCATTACTAAAACATCCTTTCAGTACAGCTGTCTCTTGAAGCACAAAATAGTCCAGCTACCCAGAGAGACCAGAAATGTAAATTTTTTTGCAGCAAAACCTGGCTTAGCTGTGCAGTGAACAAAAGACATTTGATGACCCTCATTCTGTGGTCATAACCCTGGGTAATGCACTTGGATTCAGTTGAGGTTGCTGTGTGTACCACACAGGAGTGAAAAGGTTTATGCACGGAGCTTACAATTTCAGCATGCAAATTTGTGTTTTCAAATCACATGTTTATCTATACATGTACGTCAAATTCACGACCAAGTCCCTAACGCAGCTATGCTGAGAATCCCCAAGATCCTTCCCTGGATGCACAGGTGCAAGTTACCCAAGGGTTCACTCTCTGCTCCTTGATATGATGGGACAACTCCACCTTCCTCATCCTCTAAAAAATATCTTCCAACTCTCCTGCCCATTTTGACTGACCTGGGAGGCTTAGGGTTATTTCAAGATGGGTGCTACATGTAAACACCCCCCCCCCAAAAAAAAAGCAACCAAAAAAATAAATTTAAAAAAGAAGAACGAGGATAAAATCACCACTTTGCTTGAAACACCTTGGAATCGACCCCTTCCACCATTAATGGTTTTCACTCTGCTGCTGTTGACAAGTGTTTTGTGCCATCAAAAACTGCTGATGACACCAAAGCTCACAGATAGATGGCATGACACAAATCAAAACAAATTTAATTTTGTATTCTGCAGTGGCTGGCTAATTACATGTACGTGTATGTGTAAGCTACTACTGCAAGACCATACATGTAGTGATAAACTGACCCAAGATAATGTCCTTCTCCGGGATTGATTTATTTCACACAGACTTTAATCATTTTAATGGAACACTGATAAACCTGTCAAATATGTCGTATGACTCAGGCAGACTTAATTAAGAAAGACTGCAAGGACCATGACTGTGCAAATGAGAATTACAACTCATTATTTGCACATGTACATGTGTGTATGAATAATTCTCTGAATGACAACAGAGCAAGTTGTTACTTGAGAGTTTTTTAAGGCAATAAAAGAAAACTGCTAAACTGTCCAGAGTATGTTTACATTTTGCTCTGTTTTTTTGAACCTTTCTTTACTTTCTGGAGTTAGTAGTTCCGGTAGTGGCTGGGTACGAAGATTAACTATCCAAACCTCCATACTCTGCACTTTCTCAATGTTTCACCAATTCCTGGCAGTTTTTCAAATACTTTTTTATCTACATCAACACTGAGGATCATTCCACATACTTGTCCATGATTTTTTTTTTACCTATCTTGTACTTTTCCAGTTCAATGAAAATCCGTAACTGATTGACATAATATTCTGCATGCTTGTAATGCGTTTCACTCCCATCTTTCTTACAATCGCATTCCCAAATTAAAATGCCCATGTTGTAGGATCCCAACAGAGATCTGTTTTCAACTTGTAAAGCATTCCTTGAGCGATTATTATTTTGTTCTTTCCTGGTGGTATGCATCCCATGGAAGCCATGGCAACACTGTCATAGTATTTCTGATGCACACGTATGCATGGTACGTTTTACAGTGCAATTCTCATTATATCAAATGTGATGAGTGCGATGAACTATAGTGATTGAACATTTCAGAGTATGCAAGTTGTCAAGGTTCTGGGTTTGAAACCTAGCCTACAGTTTTTTAAAACCTTTTCTGCAATTCTTGTTAAAAATATTAACAGTTGATTTTAAGCATTCTGTTCATTATATAGAGTTTAATTTTTGAAAGAAAAAATAAAGCACAAGAACCCATCCTGCTTTGATCACGTTTCAACTCTACACATGTAAGAAATGGAAATACCAGGAAGTTGGGTCAAGCCTCCTACATGTAACTAGCCATTCCATGTGGGATGCAGTCATGTGTTCTGGGGTTCCCATAGTGGTCCAAACAAGTGTCAAGTGGTTGAGGTGTCGCACAGGTGAGTGGAAATGTTACACCACTTGCTTCCAACCAAGTATGCCGGACCTCACTGTGACTGAACCAGGTACCCGGTAGCCAACTGGTAGCCCAGTAAGAAACTGTTTTAATGAGTCCCGATAGCCTGTTCCCACAAGGATTCATTTCATGCACGTGTTTAGCATGCATGAACCTGTAGTCC